CCCATTCCCGGATCCCCCCGAGCCCCCTCCCCATTCCCGGATCCCCCTCTCCCCCCTCCCCATTCCCGGTTCCTGATAAGGCTCCGGACGCGATAAGAGCGGGAGGCGCCGCCAGGGGCCCACCAGTTCCACCAGTCAGACCAGTTTGGGGGTCTCGGGGGAGCTCTGGGGGTCCTGGGGCTGAGTCCAGCCCCGCCCAGTTCATCCCAGTTCATCCCAGTTCACCCCTGGCTGTGCCACGCCGCCTTCCCCAGTTCCCCTGCTTTGCCTTCAGCCCTTCCCAGTCCTCCCATTGGCTCCCAGTTTATTCCAGGTGCTGCTTCCGGCCCTTCCCAGTCCCTCCCAGTTCCCCCAGTACTGGGAGGGGGCGGTCAGGGTCCCTCACTGGTTCCTGGCTGACCCCCAGGACCCCCCCGGGGGTCTCACCCCGCCCCTCCTGGCGTGTCCCAGTGCTCCCAGTAACTCCCAGTTACCTCTGAGTGCCAGTCCCAGTCCTTCCCAGTGCTCCCAGTGACTCCCAGTGCTTCCAGTAACTCCCAGTGGTGTCCCAGTGACTCCCAGGCGCAGCCCCCAGCCCTTCCCAGTAACTCCCAGTTCCCCATGGTATCTCCCAGTGCTCCCAGTAACTCCCAGTGGCTCCCAGTGCTCCCAGTGACTCCCAGTCGTGTCCCAGTCCCTCACAATGGCTTCCCGAAAGTCCCACGTGCAGCTCCCGGCCCTTCCCAGTGCTCCCAGTAACTCCCAGTCGTGTCCCAGTGGCACCCAGTAACTCCCAGGCGCAGCTCCCAGCCCTTCCCAGTGCTCCCAGTCCCCCACGGTGGCTCCCAGCAACTCCCAGTAACTCCCAGTGCCTCCCAGCCGTGTCCCAGTGGCTCCCAGTGGTGTCCAGGTGCAGCTCCCAGTGCTCCCAGTAACTCCCAGTCGCTCCCAGTCACTCATGGTGGCTCCCAGGTGCAGCTCCCAGTGCTCCCAGTAACTCCCAGTAACTCCCAGTGGCTCCCAGGTGCAGTTCACAACCCTTCCCAGTGCTCCCAGTGCCTCCCAGTCGTGTCCCAGTCACTCCCGGTGGCTCCCGGTGGCTCCCAGGTGCAGCTCCCAGTAACTCCCAGTAACTCCCAGTTGCTCCCAGTGGCTCCCAGTGGTGTCCAGGTGCAGCTCCCAGTGCTCCCAGTGCTCCCAGTAACTCCCAGTCGTGTCCCAGTCACTCACAGTGGCTCCCAGGTGCAGCTCCCAGT